ATCCTAACATCACTTTTATTATAAGTGACAATAATGATGATAATGACCTTGATGATGATGATAAAATGCAGGAATATGTAAGCAAGCAAGTTCAGATATTGTTTTTAGGAATGATTTTCGAAGCTGTGTTTAATGTAAAATAAACTTTCCAACTTGTTACAGTATTTATTCCGTTTTTGTCTTTCTCGTTGCATTGCAAAACATAAACATTTACCAAGCGTTGCCCCATATGAAATCATTTCCACTTTCTTACCCAAGCACCCCGTGTAGACCCGACCCTCACTAAATCACACTGATATCGTCTTTCCTTATTGTGTGGAACGGCGTCTCGCAAAATGGCCGTCGACCTTCGGCAAGAAGCAGCAGAAAAAAAGCCTAAAATAGCAGTACACAATAGCGACATCTGCACTGTGCAAAGTCAAACCAATTAAACGGCAACACACAAATGGAAACGTAAACAAATACAAATGTTTAATGCGAAAACTGGCACACATTGGTGTACTTAGGAACCAACTTTATTGCACTTGTCAGTATAGATCAATGGTAAAAGTATGGGATAGCAAATAAAGGTTCAAAAGGATTCGCCACAATAAAAACGATTTTGGAAAAATTAAATCAACAAAGTTCAATAAGTTTCTTCTAATCCCTTACTGGCATTCAATATTTCGGAGACAAAATTTGTAAAAGTCACGATTTGTAATTTGTGTTCTGAGTTATTTTGCGTCGTTCTTCGTGGTTGAACAGTAAAGCGCACTGGATCAAACGTTGGATTTGCCTAGAAATGGGGACGAAGGTTTGAACGCCTTTGTCATTACTAAGATTTCTAGAATGCCACAGGCTAAGACAGGTAGTACACATTGTTTAATAAATAAAAATGGGGCGTTTATTTCAAATACTGACTATCCAGTCTAATAACTTTTGAAGTTATATAAATATGTATAACACGTTGTCACAATATAAAGTACGTACATTTATATGGGGTCCAACAGTATTCATGTACTATCTAATTTAACTCTCTCTCTCTCTCTCGCAATCTCTTTCTTTCTATTTATTACTGCCTGATCATATCTATCTATCTATCTATCTATCTATCTATCTATCTATCTATCTATCTATCCACGCAATAGCTTTGGATACCCAGTGCTCAATAACAAAGATAAACAGACAAGAGTTGGAGGTGATGAAAAGTTTTAGGCTCAGCCCACTTATAAATTTCAGATCAAATGACCAAACATCTGCAATAGTTTTAGTATCTCTGTTTTGTCATGTCGAGAAATTTGAGCACCTAATCACACACACACACACACACACACACACACACACACACACACACACACACACACACACACACACACACACACACACACAGAGTTATCAATCTGTTTGACAAAAAAGAGAAAGGAAAAAACGTGATCCTACTAAAACTATTTTTATAGTAAAATGAAGTAACGTCAGATTACAAAATAAATCTATTAATTGCTTAAAATTACTTTGTTTCAATTTCGGGTACGACAAAAACAATGCTGACAGATTTAAAGTTCAAATGGTCCCAATGATAGATGTACATTTATTTTAAACAAGATTATTTGTGTGTAATTGAGCTTTACTCTAGGTGCCTAAGAAACGGAAATGGTAAAAACACACCTGCCTAAAAGGTGGTGTCCTCAGGTTAAAGAATGGAATGCAATTGCATTAACTACCGAGAGGTACATTTCTTTCACTTTCGATGCTTTTAAGTTGGTAGATATCGATTTCCCTTTTTGGAAAAAAAAAAGTTAGGGATATTTACTCCAACCTGTGTAATCACGACAAATGCTAAAAACACGTTTGTCGTAATAAGATTTCATGTTGGATTAAAAATGAAACCCATTAATTATTTTATACATATATGCATACATATTAAATATGAGTATATACAGAGAAAGACCGATAAATCAAACAATATTCATTATTTAAATAAATCAAAAACAAAAAAACAATCACTTCAAAGTCTTCACGCATGATATAGGTCTCTAAATTCACATAAATTATATTTAATATATATTTTGGCACCAATTTCTATTGTTTGTCTATTTTTTTAAGATCACGGTAATATTTCTTATAAGAAGCATTTTGATTCATTTTTGTTGACATTTTACAAGTATTTTGATTACTGGTTCAAGATTGTAATGTCAGTCAGTTAGTTATGATGTATGTGATACACGCTTAGGTGACCATATATATCTCGGTACATGACTGACGAGGCAGATTTTTTTTCTCGCAGTAGGTTGCCATATCTTTCTGCGGTAGACTAGTTGCCATCTAAGAACCGGTCTGTCCTGCTATTTACCCATAGCTGTGGGGAGGGAGAAGAAGAGGATTCAAACTTTTCCCAAGGGTATATTACGTAAGTGAATTTGACTGGAATTCAAACTCGGCTCTGCGATTCCTCACTTCGAGCCGCTATCCATTACTCCACCCTGTCTACTTCCCGATACTGTTTATCCAAGTATTTTCAGCCACTTGGGCCAACTTCCGGAAATATGGTTGTTTTCAGAGTAAGTCTGCATTTTCCAGCATCTTTGATAGTTTCAATCGTGTTATATATTTTAGCGTTATATTTGAAAGTAGTTGAATAAACAATAACTGGAAAAATATTCAGAAACTCGAATTACCAAAATAATTATAAAGGAAACAAGAATTGAAAAATATTTCTCTGGTTTAAAATAATAATAATGAAAATAATAATAGTATACATTATATATAAAATAATAATAATAATAATAATAATAATATATATATATATATATATATATATATATATATATATATATATATATATATATATATGGGGGGATGTGTTTTTTCCTGTGTGTTTCGGTAGGTAGCTTGATATGTGAGGAGAGAATGAAAAGATTGTCATAATAGAGATTTGTTATGATAATAGCAAGTGTCAACAATTTTGAGTCTATGAATTTGTACGCCGTTTTTATTGATGTTCAAATTATAAGCAATGTTTTTGTTTTGTTTGACTTGGACGTTTATTCCAACTTGCTGTTTGAAAACCACAAAAAACGATCTAGTGTTTGCTTAGCTTTGTCGAGCACTAGCGAAAACGGACGGGTCGGCCTCTCTCTGCCCCCCCCCCCCACTAAATGACCAAAAGTTTAAGCAATTCAGAGAAAATTGTTTGTTTATGAAATGGTTTTATGTATAAAGATATAGTCTACAATAAACTAAAGCTATATTATTGCGCGTGCGCACATGCGCACACACCCACTCCCATATCTATGTATGCGTGTATGAATCGCAGCATATTGAATATTGGACACCCTGGCTTAATCTCAGAATCCCATGGCTTTACACGTGGTCGTATATAGGCAAAGCACATAATCAAGTCAGATGATTTGTATATACGTATGATTATGTTGCTTTAACCATGAAAAGTTATAAAAAAAGAGATCAGCTAGGTACACATAGCAGCTGCAACTAGGGTCGGCTCAAGGTACTGGCAGAGGGTGCTATCTTGCTGCCATATCATGTGTTTTGGATCTTCCAAAACTAAAGTTTTTAAAAACATAAATGCGGTCGTCCATGATTCAAGACAGATTAAATTCTTTGGTCTATTTTATCAATAGAAAATGATATTGTAAAGAATATAGGTGTAGAAAGTGCCATGAAACTATTTGCAGATATAAAAACGAGAAGTTTTAGGTAGGATAATGAATGTTTTTTTTTTAGCTTGCATTGTGTTGTATATTGTAGTAAATTCGTTATTCTGCAGTTTCAGTTTTTCTTCTTGTGAAACTTTAAAAAAATGTACTTGTAAGAATACCGAAATTCACCTTGCAAGGGGTGCCAGCAAATATAGTACCGTCACTGGGTGTAGTTAAAGTAGTTGCAGGATTAAAGATGAGAAGGAGTGTTAAAAAACATTCCTGCCTTTCGATCACATTTCAAGTTCAACAAAAGAAAGTTTCTAATTCAGTCAAACAGAGAATGCGTTCCCTGTTTGACAGAAGTAGACTATTTTTATTACTTATTCGTCTTCCATATCTCTATCTTGCCAACAATTCGAATAAAGCAAGGAGTCTTTATCAAAATGCGTGTTCTATTTTAATTGCACGCTTAATAAGATCCTGGTGCATGAAGATGAATTGATTTGTTCTTTGAGCTTTATCAACTCCTTGCAGAAAACATTTTTGGTTGAAAGAATTATGGGGGCAGATAATAATGATTTACTGATAAAAGTCCTACTAATTAATTCATATCTGCGAGAGAAGAGGTGGATACATACCTTTTCTATTTGTGCCTAAATGAATATAACGAACTTGATGGAATTGGATCTCAGCTCTCCGATTTCAAATTCCGACATGCACATCCCAGTCTACAGCAACTGGTATTCCGAAACAATCATCCATCTATCACCAGGCTCAATGATGCATAACTTCAGTGATCGTACGAGAATCGGTCCTTCAACATGATATGGCTGTAAGTCGTATAAAGATGAAATATTGCATTACAGTGAAATCATGGCAAACATAGAATGTTACAATTGTTAACATAACAGACCATTACTTAAATTTGATTTTAGTTCAATATGCTAATATATATATATATATATATATATATACCTGTAACGATTTTTAAGCATAGCTTCGATGTGGCACAAGGCCGAAAATTAGGAGCACCTAGTGAGGATCGAACTCACTACTCAGTCATAATTATTCTAGCGAGACAATCTTGCTAACCATTACGCCCTCTCTCTCTCTCTCTCTCTCTCTCTCTCTCTCTCTCTATATATATATATATATATATATATATATATATATATATATATATATATATATATATATATATATATTTCATATGCCAATCTATTCATATCTATCTCTGCTGTGATGGAATATGTAAAAACCAGTTGGAGGTTTTAATTTTACTCTGTTGTTAATATTTCGTTCAAAATGAACAATATCAGAACAACTGAAAAATTCATAGTAACCTCGCTACATTGGAACGCTATGGTTAATTTCTATCTATCTATCTATCTATCTATCTATCTATCTATCTATCTATCTATCTCGGTCTGTCCATATCTACCTGTCTCAGTCTGTTCATATCTATCTATTCGCGTCAATAGTTCTATTTAGCAATTGCGCAAATAGGTCGTTTGCAAATCTGCTTCATATACCAACACTTCCAAATAAGGATCTGAATGGTAATTTTAAACATAGATTACTTCCTATAGAATAGTTCAATACATGATTGATTTTACTTTTGCAATACGGTTGTGGAAAAGTCTTATAAAGTTCTTATTAACTATGCAAAACTCTCTTTATTTTCCCATCCATCTATCTCCGACAAAACGAATTTTTATTGCTATTAAATACCTAGAAAATATTAAATGCCATATTTTTATTTAATTTCAGAATCAAAAGATGAATCGATATTTGAAGATGCTTGCGACAAGGATGACGCCAGTGGCATCCTGGAACCGGACGATAAAGACGGTGATGAGTCAGGCAAACAGAAGATAAAATCCTTTTCTTCATCTGGTTCCGATTCCGGCAAAGCTGGCAAACCGAGACGCGCTCGGACGGCTTTCACTTACGAACAGCTGGTCGCCTTAGAAAACAAGTTCAAAACCACGCGTTACTTATCTGTTTGCGAACGGCTCAACCTCGCTCTTTCACTGAATCTCACAGAAACTCAAGTGAAAATCTGGTTCCAGAACCGTCGAACAAAATGGAAAAAACAAAACCCCGGCATGGATGTTAATAGTCCCACAATTCCACCCAGCAGCGGGGCCCTGTCGGGATTCTCATCTCCCTACTCGAGTACCACCCCTCTGTACGCTCAGGGTCTCCATCCGTACCTACAGAACCACAATTTGTACGGAGCTTTGGGTTTGTTCCGTACACACGCCGCCAGTTACGGTGCACAGAACCATCACATATATTATCCTTATTTTAGTCAAACGACTTGAAAAATAATTGAAAAACAATTTTAAAAAGATTGTCGGATTTTCTTGTTGATCATTGTTTTATTAATCTTCGAGCAATGAAAATAATTATATTCCATATGATCAAAGCAAAGCCAAAAATGAAACACACTGGATATTATTTAAAACGATGATAAAAATGGAGGAAAAAATCAAAGTCTTCAATTCTGCAAATTTGTCATAAGCGTTTGCATATATATATATATATATATATATATATATATATATATATATATATATATATATATATATTACGCTTAAAATGATAGAATTTAACTTGTCAAACAACCCCGTTTTAGGGGTTGATCAAATTTAAAACGATAACCTCGACAGAAACAAATTTCAATAAAAGTATAAGAAAAGAGCTGAAATACTGAAAATTATTTCAGGTACCAAGGAAATACAAAAAAAAAGGACAAAAAATCCCCATAATAATCCATATTTGTATCTATCATTGTACATATAGATATTTATGGTTGAATTATTTATATTCTCACAACGGATGCGTACTTCCATGTGTATATATAACTGTACGGACAGCCTAAAAATCATCAGCATTTATTACGCAGTCGAATGTACATTCGGACGAAACCTGCTTATACATACGTGTATATACATATATATATATATTTGTATATAGACACTAAGAGAAAAGAACATAATTGCACTATAGACATGATAAGTGCCGATAAGTCAAAGATGAACAGTCATTATTATTAAAACAAGAAATAATAAGGATTCCTATCCACCCAGAATACAAATTTGTCCCATCCTTTTATTAGTCTGTGAAAATGATATTTAATGTGTTTTAATGTTATTTCTTTCACAACTGTCCTCTTACTAATGACATTACAAATCCATGTACACACACAAGTAAAAAATAGTGTATATAAAACACACACGCATATACACACACACACACACGCACACACACACATATATATATATAAATGAAAATTGTGAGGAAAAATATTATAGCATAATGAAAAGATATCTGCTTTGGTAATGAATGCAGGGCAGAGAAAGCTTAAGAAGACAGAACGAGAAGACGCGTATAACAATTGGTATACGAACCAGTGAGTACACGACTATGTGTATTCGCGCATGAACATGCACTTACTTTTTACACGTATAAACATATATGCACACAGATGTATGTGTGGGTATATAAGTCTATCTATGTGCAGTCGCGTGTGTGTATCTGCGTGCAGGAGATGTATTCAGTTTGATTCACAACTATCCGACCATCAGACTGTAAATTTAAAAAAGAAACAATCATTTATAAAATGAATATTGTTTAAATAAAATGTATTGACCAAAAGGTTTAATTTTAAAAACAAAAAAAAATAATTCTCAAAAATGAAACCAAAACCGGTTCATGCCAAGAAAATATTACAAAGATCAGAAAGAAGTAAAAAAAAAAAAAAATTAAAAAGCTGAAAAAATGTAAGCGAACAATATTTGACCAGAAGTGAGTTTTGAATTAATTACAAGTTGCTTCTATTTACAACTCACTGAAAATTTTAGGCAAGTCGTTGTTTCTCCTTGCCTTCTGCGGTCTGTCTTGTAAACAAATGATTCAACTGGTTTGAAAATTAAGAAAAAAGTTAGTCAGCAGGCAATCTCCACCTTGCTATATATTTTTCTCTTTCAATTCCCAAGCAAAAAGTGTAAACATAAACTTTGTTAGAAATACAAACAGATTTATATTACGTAAAATATTTACTGAAGTGGACAACAAAAATGCTTTCCCGGAAATTGTTTAAACATATAAAAATAAAAATCCTAAATATATATAAAAAAGAATCATTGGAATTTTCTTCTTTTATTCCCTCTTTATATGTTCATTTATTTCAGGAATCTGTTGCAGATAAAGCCCATCCGGATAATACCATTTCAAGATGGCCACCGAGAGAGAAATACATAAATGCGTATGGATATTCACATAAGTGTGTGTGTGTGTGTATGTGTGTGTATTTACATAGATAAATAATCATATTTATACAAAGTGTCAGATTTAATTTTTCCGGTTAATGTTTTCACAATAAAATCAACATTAAGCACCTGATGTTGGTCACATTTTCAAGGGGTATTTACATGATCAGTATAACACGTGAATATAATGTCTGAAATAATGTAAAATATTGGCAATTATTTATTTGGTAGTCTGAAATGTTATTATGCAACATGAGTGTTCAACAATATAAAAGAATATATATATATATATATATATATATATATATATATATATATATATTATAATGCATGCTGTATTTATAGGGTAAGAGTGCTCATTGTCAGAGAGAGAGAGAGAGGGAGAGAGAGAGAGCTTATGTAGATATAAAGTGGACACGGGTCAAGATGGTTTGAAGATTATGCTCAGTCCTGAACAGACTATCGCCATTCGGTGTTGACCTCGGTGATCACTTTTTCTCAGTCTCTCTCTCTCTCTCTCTCTCTCTCTCTATATATATATATATATATATATATATATATATATATATATATGTGTATGTATGTAGTTATTGATATTTATTTTTTAGTTAAACATATAAAAATTGTTGTGGGTCAGGAGAAAGATATTTTAGAGTTATTGAATGGTGTGATTGCGACTTTGGAAATTGTGTAAAAACTGACTAGTTGTCACAGAACATAAAATAAAAAGAAAGAAATGGAAAACGTTGGCAAGGCGAGAACAAAAAAAACATGGGTTTAAAAATGTCTCAAAAAGAGATTGACAAAAATTAAAAGTAAAAATAGACCATGCGATATATTGTTTAAACAAGTATATCATGAAAAATATGTCAATATGAGTCGGCTAACCCCATTTCTGCTATAAACATCGATTAATATCATAAAATGGACAAGCATTTATTTTGTGTATTTTTGGGCTGGGTACATGAGAATATGTAAGTACTGGCAAATTGTATGGCTTCTGCGGTTTGGGCTTTTTTCTGGTCCATTTGCTGAAAGCAATATATATAAAAAGAATTGGACGATATCTACACAAATAAACATTTTCTTGTATGTAAAAAAAGGTTCATTAAAATATTTCAAAATAATCATTAAGAAAATAAATAACAAAACTTTATTATTTTTACATACACGCAATGCATACATACATATACATTTTTTATTATTCTTTTAGATTTGGCGGACATTTCGTCAATATTATTTTTCACACGTAATTGCCATGACTGACATAACATGATCCTATAGAGAAATAAATAAATTTTCACCAATAACACTGATTTATTTACTGCTGACTTTGACCCGTCTTAATGAAATACCCTTTACAGACAGACAGACACACACACACATATATATATATATGATTGCCACAACTTACCCAAATGAGAGATGCCTCTTCACCCTTTGTATCATTTGTGATGGCTACCGTCTTGGCGTCCAAGGACCCTAAGTAAACACTTGAGGTCAACATTTGATTTCATAAATATCATGTATGTGACAGATAAACTCTGTATCCTTGACTGGTTCTGCATGCCCTACGAATCTCCTGGGTACCTCAGTCCAGATGATGATCTGCAAACCTTGTAAAAAGACAGGTACTCTTGGCAGGACAATGAAGCAGGTTGGCGTAGGTGGCTTGCTTCTCGTTGTTATGATGACTTTTCAGATGCTTTACCTAAACCTGCCTTCGAAAACAGCATGCGCTCATACACACTACATTTCCAAGACTGCATATTAGTTGGCAAATCATAGTGAGTGCATGTATGTATGTACGTATGTAAATATGTGTGTGTGTGTGTGTGTGTGTGTGTGTGTGCTGTGTGTGTGTGTGTGTGTGTGAAACTAAATGAATAATAGCCCAATGGTCCCACCACACCTATGATAATAAATTTGTTCTATGGATTTCAGCTTTTGGGGTCGTTTGAGGAGATTTAATTTTGCATTGAACATTGTCGTGTGTAACCCATTTTTCATTAGATGTTATGATATATTTAAGGAATGGGTTATTCCTTTGTTGTGAAAGGAAACTTGTCGCTATAGATAAACTATCCACTTTGGCATGTTTTTGCTAAGATCCTGCGGAACACACAACTTTCTGCACTACACGCAAGCCACCAATTTGCCACTGAATGACATGCCACTAGCGTTTACCGTTGGTGTCCCGTTGTCGGACCGCTTTTGTGTTCCTCTCGGCAATGTTACCACTGCTGGACTGCTAGTGGCACAATGGTGGCCCTCCGTTGGCTGTCAACAGAGGACCACTGGCGTTGCCATTGGTGGCCTGCCAGCGCGTCACTAGCGGCTTGTCCTATCTTTTGTGGCTTGTCCTATCTTTTGTGGCTTGTCCTGTTTTCAGTTTGTCGGTATCTGGTAGATCGTGTTGTGTTTAACATCTTTGCTAATTCCTGATTACTTTTCTGTGGATTGCTTTTCCACTAATGAATATAGAGTTTTATCATCAAACTCAGTCTGAGTTCTTTTTACAACGACGTTTCTCCAGAAGGAAACTTTGCAAAGTAATCTTGATCTGGTCAATTTTTAATGGCTCCTTGATTACAAACACAACAGTTTTTCTAGATGTCTCCATAGCATTATTAACTTTGCTCGAACTACCATAGAATTATATGACATAAATGCACTTTCAATTAATGGGTTTTAAGAAAGCCACTCTGTACGGTGCCATTGCTATGTAAAAAATCAAGTTTGATTGTGTACTCCAAATTTATACATAAATACCACTCATAATTACTAGACAGCAAGGTAGGTTCGTTTGTTGGTTCCATAAGCGGAAATGACTCAACCTCACAGTTATTTTTTCAGCGTAACTTAGTTTGAGCACACGGCCACAAGTATAAGGCACACCCAGTGGGGATCAAAATCAGTTCTTAGAAAGTTGTTGACCATTACGTCACGATTATGTACTTCTTCGATTGACCGTAGTTATTTTTGTTTAGTCTGATACAAAGACCGTAAGTCGTTAACACTTTTTCCTGCTTCAAATTGGTTACCCGTCC